ACCCATTCAGAAACCCAGACTCTTTTTTTGCACTGACTCACGGTCAACTTCATTGGGCGTGGCTGAAGCGGGAACTTTAAAGTTAGATCTTTGGGCGTTTAAATGTCGGAATCCAATTTTTTTTTCTTAGAATACCTTTTTACACATTATAGAGATACCAAAACAGCAAAAAAACCCTGTTGGCCGTATAGACACTTTAAAGTTTGTCAAAAAAAAACTCCACTGCGCATTGTATTTTCAACTCTCTTCTCGGTGTTTGGAAATGTGGTCAAGCACGGGCATTCGTGTTTGATATATTACCTACCTTATTTCTAGTAACAAAGTCATCCAAGCGTCCAGGTGTAGCGACCAAAACATGGCATCCCCTTCTTAGCCTATCCAACTGGTGCTGCACACTAACTCCACCATAACATACTGCTGCAGTTATTACAGTTTCATTAGAGAACTTGCAAAATTCTCTGTGAATCTGCACAGCAAGCTCACGAGTTGGTGCAATGCAAAGTGCTGAAGGAGTTTGCGTATCACCAGATAAGAAGCCACCACTAAGGTGACCTTGTTTAACCATAGATGTTAACACTGGAACTAAAAATGCAACCTGAAATGAAAATACAATATACTAGCCCCAACACCTTTCTGTATTCAGTGTTTTCTTTCACAACCAGCGTCACAACTGATCATCATCATCATTTACTTCCCACGTAAATAATAAAAAAAGATATTAACAATACTGAAAAAGCGGACTGTGCACTTTCACTACATCTTCGTATAAGACTTCTGGTTTTCCATGATTTTCATGTGTTTACATAGAACATCAACTGAATTGTCCTGTGTTCAGGCAGGACACTTTTCTCTCTACAGTAATCACCCCGAGTGTTCGCCCTGCACATAAACAAAAATGCGGAGTGACATTCATGTTTGAGTTTTTGATCGTAAAGTATGGTAGAAAACGCCAATGCATCTGAAAAGCCAAGTGGCTGCATTCAGGCATTCAGAGGAGCGCCTGATCACAGCGTGGTCTGGGGCCATGTTCCCCCAGAGAAGTTTGAAATCTAGAGACTTGGAAATGCTATTTTCAGCATCCTCCACGGGATATTTCGTCCAAAAAACCTCAATCTCGATCAAGTGTAAAATGACAGGGGCGTCCCTCCAATCTATACAAAGCTCTTTTATAATAGCGATTTATAAAAGTGTACCATGCCTTTGCGTTTAAACCAATAACTCTCAGATTGGGTAAACTTACTAATGTTTGGCTGCTCTTTCAGATGGTGGGTCCCATTTTTCAATTCAATCAATTTTAAATATTCGTGCACAGTCCCCTGCTTGTTTAGAACATGGCTAATTAAGGTAAACTTATCATAGTAAAGTTCCTACATCTACACCTAACACTCCAAAAAGTTAACGGGTTAAAAAAAAACCCATTTGTTTTTTGGGGTACAACTGCTCCCCTTGCCCCTGGGCTAGCTAAGGCTCTGTTTGTAATGGCAGGTTTCCAGAATATTTTGCCAAGCTATTGAAAAGTTTCTTCTTAATATGCTAAAGATTGAATTTTCTTGTTTAGACCTGCAAACTTGTTACTATGCAAGTCTAAAGGATGAAAGTTGATCTCCGTTTAAAAGAGATATATCTACCGGCATGTGACATACAAGTATAAAAAAATAAACAATACACATGGATTTAATAATAGAGGAAAAGTGATAAAAACGGACCTGTAAATCCTGCTTTAAAATCAACATTTAAGCAAATTTTCCATTGATCCAAAAATGCTAAAAATGCAGTCAGTGATGGACATCAGTAGTATACAATTGAAGCTGTGTTTGACGCTGACGTTTATAGTTACTTATACAAAGATGTTTCGACCGAACAACTTCGGTCTTCGTCGGTTTAAAAAAGCTAATAAACAATTATTGGATTAGGTTTTTGTGATATCCGGAATAATCAAGGTCGAGGTAAGTGTTATCAGCCGAAGCCGAAGGCTGAGTATAATAACACTAACCGAGACCTTGATTATTTCGGATGTCACAAAACCGAATCTAATAACTGTTTTATTATACATTGTTTTAAAGAAAATAACGACAAACGCATTATCACACCGAACACAGTTTATTTTCGACAAGCCATGTTTTCACTTCACAGTCCGTGACCTTGACCTCGCTCTTGGAAATCATGCATCGCGCGCCCAACCTACAGATTATTCTGTAGGTTGCGCTGTTTCCCAAAGTCTATGTCATGGCCAAACTGATTGGAATGTTGTGCAGCCTTGGAGTTACTGTCTCCTGCTCGAACCGCTCTCTTGAGTTCTTTCAATCATACTGACAAGGCTCTATCAGTCTGTCCATGATGGAAAATCACCGTCAAGGTAACTGATTTTGTAAACCACACCTCTTGACTGTAAAATAGGGGGTTTGTCCTTGAACCATGGGAAGCGAGCGTGTAAAAAATTNACCGGAATGTCATCATACTTGTCAAAATTCAAACCACTGTGAGGTGCATCCTTAAAAAGTTCATCTATATCATCTGGAAGTTCTGGTGGAATGTATGTCACTGGAGCCATTCTCTTCTCAGGTCCTAAACAAAACAAAACAAAAACATGTGACTGTGTGGCGAGGGGAAGAAGAATTTCCAGCCCAATATCCCCAGGGGGCTATTGGGGCTATAATACTAATACAAATATCTTGTAAGTGATATTATCCCTCTTGATGAGAAAGTCATGTTCTTAAATCAATCAATGCCAAGAAAACAATGTTTAAATAATCATTGCGCTTATCTTTAAAATACACCTTCTAGAAAAATTCATTATCTCCTGTCATTTGCCCATTTGCCACATTCCATATTTTCTCAATTAAACACCCTCGGCATTTATTTTAAACTTGGCTCCACGTATCAGGCGTTTATTTGACTTCTGCAGTTTATTTAAGCCTGGGGTTTATTCTAATTTTTATTTATTATTTCTGAGGGCAAAATATCTTATATTTATTGAACCGAAAGTTTACAATTTACCTCAAATATAAATTCCTCAAGGGTCTCATTCACAAATCTAACAGGGAGACCCTGCATTTAATCGAGAAAATAGGGTGCATGCAGTCACTCCCTCTCCTCCATCCAGACATATATTTATCATTTGCATTTGATTTATCCAGTTAAGACACTGAGTGTCCCAATGACATAAGGAACCTTTTAATACATGACTTTTCACAGGATTTTGTGCCATAAGAGAAAAAAGCTTAGTACTATACATGTATGTAGTAACAACAAACTACCCTGTGATGGGCATTCCCTTGCAAAATGACCAGTCTCTCCACATTTAAAACAGCCTTGGTCTCCTGAAATATGTTAAAAGAAGCAACAATGATCTTGGGCATTGTTTAAAATAAAAGCGAGAAATAATTCACATTTATTCAATATATATTTTGTTCTTGCCAAAAGGTCTGGATAGTAGCAGACATGCTAAAATTTTTAGAAACAACACAACAGTTCTTAAAAACATGTTTCAACAGAATCTTCTGTCATCTTCAGTTTAAATTACAAAATACAGAGTTGAATATATAGTGTATGCAAAATGCCAATTGACTATTTTGTTCTCTAACAACTTGATTAAATTAATTCTTCTAACCCACTTCTTATTTGTATTAATCAAATATTTTTGTTATTATAAGGAAATAAAGATAAGATACAGTATACACAAAGGCCCCTGTTATGTAAGACCCATCTTGCTTGGGGGACGGGGAAAACAAACAACAAAAGTTGCAATAAATGCCTTGGCACTACGATTTTTTCTTATTTTCAGCAGTAGCATGAAACTTTGTAATAATCCAACTTAGTGCCCTCCTTCCAACAGCAGCCCCACTTGAGCATTGTTGTTGTTTTATCGGTACCCACCCCTGTTCCAACAAGCACCCCCAATGCAAAAGTGACATTCACGGTATTTGTACAGAACAGACTAATATACAAGTGAATTACTGTAAATCCTTGAATTAGCCCCCCCCCCCCCC